AGAAAAAAACTAGTAATAACATCATAAGTTTTCACGTAGAAAGCCAGAAAGGAAAAAATGATGGGGTTTAACCCACCTGAAGAAATCCACTACAAACTGGATATTACATGTATAATCCCTCGTCCCACTGGTCGGAAAGAGATGATCACTCTTCGGAGTTACAACATCAGTTCACGAATGAACTTGTTATAAGAAGTGAGCGGATACCGATTGCGATCGCTGGAGACCAGCAAGCAATAATTGAAGGCAGTCGGTGACAATTAATGGCGGTCACTGGTGGTCAACGGATGATGACGACGGTCAGCGGAGGTCAACAACAATCGACTGTGATCAATGTTGGTGGTCAACTACGGTCGATGGTGATCAATGAAGCGATCGACAGGACAGGAGGACTTCAGCCCCTTCTTGAAGCTTCAAGTTCTTTGTCAAGCTTCTTTCAAGCTCTCTCTCTCTCTCTCCCTCCTCCATGAGATGGGTCTTCAAGCTCTCTCTCTCTCTCTCTCTCCCTCCTCCATGAGATGGGTGAAACTCTATTTATAATGTTCTGGCTGCAATTAATGAAGGACTGTAAACCACTTTGATCAGATGATCCAGAGAGCTTCATTTGATCAAACGACATTTGATGAACATTTGAGTGTTTTAATGATATTCGATTTGAGTGAACTTGGGCTTGTTGGATTCATCTTGCTGTGAAGCTTGATTTAACTATGAGCGTGCCAGATTCAACATCTGTTTGACTAACTAAATGTCTCTGGAAGACTTTCAAATATGGTTTGATTGCTTGATCAGGGCTCAATTTGATTCAAATTGGATCAAAGTTGGTACCATTGAGTTCGTCTTGTCAAAGTGGTTAGTTTGAATATAAATTTGTTGAAATTGGACTTCTGGTTGATTTTTATCAGAGTTTGAATATTTTTTACTTGAAAGATTGTCTCGAGATCTATGTTATGTGATACACTAAAATAACGTGTTGTTTTAAGTATACACTTAATGCTTATTTTTGGGGATACTACACTTTAAAGAATGGTACTTTCATGTTTTTGTTGCAGGTATATCAATTTTAAATATTTGGAAAAAAAAGTAAAAAAAAAGGACGAAATTTGGAGCCAAAACAGTGATTTTTGTGATTCTGGCGCCTAAAGCGTCATTTTACAGAGAGCTGACACCTAAAGCGCCAAAATCCAGAACAACACGGTCTTAAGCAACTTGACACATGAAGCGCCAGAACCAGCGCCTGAGGCGTCAGAGATGACTTTTTTATGAATTAAGGGGGTTCAAGACAAATTTTGCGCGAATTTCAAAGGGACCACATGTTTTAATTGCCCCAATGAGTGATTCAATGCATCTAGACACTTTGGAATGTTCTTTTATGAAGGGATATATCTCTTGGATCAATAGACATATCTTTTGGAATTCAAAAGGGTTAACTTTTGGATAACTTTTGGATAAAATTTTGGAGGAAATTTTGGAGGGAATTTTGAATTCTTTTTGGAGAGAGGCAGCCTCTAATAAAATAGAGGGAAGTCTAGAGCATGGTGGTGGCGTAAAGGGGGGTTCGAAAGAGAGGAAATTGAGGCGTGAGAGAGAGAAAGTCAATGGCTTAGAGATTTTCTTCTAGGTTTATAAGAGGAGAGGGAAGGTGAGAGGTGAGAGTTTTCTTCTTCAAGAGTTTTCTTCTTCATTACACTTCTAAGAGAGAATTGAGAGTGCTTGTAAAGAGACTAAGTGCTTGACGAGATCTTCTAGGAATTGTCTTGTGAATGATTGTGAGATAAGTTGTGTCTTTTATTTCCTTGTTTTTGTAAACTTGTTTTTATATATGTTGTTTTTATATATGAAATCCTTGTTTTTATATATGAAATCCGTGTTTTGTTGTTTTCTTCTTATGAATTCTGAGTAACCTTCTTTATTCTTCTTCTTACAATGAGATTTGGTTTTGGGAAGGATTGATTTTGTTTTATACGGTTTTAAATGTCAATAATTTGTGATGATTCAAACTCTGATCACCAATTGAAATGTTAAATTAAATTGAGAAACATATGATCCGAAATGGCTTTGATTTCGACAACATATTGAGAATCACATTTGATTCCATGGAACAGGATGTCATCCATAGGGTTGAATGCAAATAAATAAGGAAATATACTTTGTTGGATGCAGAATTGAAGATTTTAAGGTGATAAATTAAAATCTTCAATTTGATCCAGTTGATTAAAAATTAATGCGAGATTGTTAGCCCTCAAGTGAGGGAGTAGTGGGAGCTATGGAGTGGTAGCCGGTATTCTCTCATCCTAACCACGAAATTAGGGACTAAACTCTGGATTAATTAATGTTCTTCATGCACTTGAAAGAGGGTAAATAATATGATTGTTTATATTTGGCACAAAATAATATTTATTTATTTTTAAATAGTTTTAATTTATTCACAATCCATATACTCATTGTAAAGGAGAATGATGCTTTCTTAAATTTAAACTCTTCATCACAAAAATTTTGTTTAGATTTCATAAATTTAGTTCAGCAACTAGTTTAATTAAACTATTTCATTTTATCTGCATTTTATTTAGCATGCACTTAATCATTTAAACTCTGATCACCGTCGACAACTGTCGACCACCACCGAAAGTCGTCGCCTCCATCGACAGTCGTCGATCATCGCCGACTCTCGTCGACCCCTGCTGACCGTCATCGCCACCGTCAACTATCATTGACCACTTATAAGCTGCCCCAAACGGGCCTTAGATTGACAATCAAGCCAGTGGGACTCCAGATGCTTCATGCAAAGGAATCATGCACTTGAAAGAGGGTAAATAATATGATTGTTTATATTTGGCACAAAATAATATTTATTTATTTTTAAATTTTCTATTTGGCACAAAATAATATTTATTTATTTTTAAATAGTTTTAATTTATTCACAATCCATATACTCATTGTAAAGGAGAATGATGCTTTCTTAAATTTAAACTCTTCATCACAAAAATTTTGTTTAGATTTCATAAATTTACTTTTGAAAGTTCAACAACTAGTTTAATTAAACTATTTCATTTTATCTGCATTTTATTTAGCATGCACTTAATCATTTAAACTCTGATCACCGTCGACAACTGTCGACCACCACCGAAAGTCGTCGCCTCCATCGACAGTCGTCGATCATCGCCGACTCTCGTCGACCCCTGCTGACCGTCATCGCCAAGCTGCCCCAAACGGGTCTTAGATTGACAACCGAGCCAGTGGGACTCCAGATGCTTCATGCAAAGGAATCAGGATTTGATTTTTTTTCTTACTTTCCGTTGTTAGTATATTATGAAACAATTATTATTAATTTTTGCATTTATTTTTATAAATAATTCAGATAATTGAGTCAAATCAGATTAACCAGAGAGAAATACACATTATTGTTTAAAATCGGGGCCGGTTGTCCGATCCAACAGTTAGAACTCTACTTCAAAATGCTATTTGGCGAATTTTAATATGAATCAGACTCAAGACCCCCAACCCAGTCCAGTCCGATTTTTCAAGCCAAAAAAAAATTAGATATTTTGTTGGTTACCATTTAATTTCATTAATCTCCAAATATAAATAAATGCATATACATCACATCATATATAAAATTATATATATAAATGCATTGCCTTCAAAAGTCTTACAATATTTTTCCCCCAATAATAATAATAATAATAATAATTGGTAAGGGAATTTGATTTGCTAAAAAAATCAATTTTACAGAATATTTATTTTCCTGAACAAAACATTCAAATATTCAAAAGACTCGCCTACATTTTACTTCAAACCAAAAGCCCCTAACATTAATAACCAAGTTAAATAAGCCAGATTCCTCACAAGTGAAATCATATATAATCAATATGAAAATTTCAAGTACATACCACTCAATTCCTATGAATTTATAAACACCATCTATTCCATGCATGAAAGGATATATTTCACTTAATCATGTGAAAGATTGGGGTAGTATAAATGTAGAAAGCAAAATTTTGATATTAGATATGCAAATACATCGCAGTGGGGAGCACAAAAAAAATGCTTTAAAATGAATCTTCGAATAGAGAAACCGACCAACCTCTCGTCATAATTTGACTAAAAGAAAGTTCACCATCACCAATCATCCAGCGAACACGCTTGAGACAGATTGAGAACTAATCTTGGTATGGCACATAGAGCATGTGAAAAAAAAAACCCCCACCAATGAGTAATCTATCAAAATACAATGATTCATCCTCAGCCCGATAGTCTAAACCTCACTCTATCGATCAAAGTTCCTTATCTAGAGATCATCAGTCAGCAACTAGACTACGATAACCGGTCAGCAAAGCAAGGCCGCTTAAGTCAAGCCTTACGGATCAAAATATCATCAAGGACCAACGAACAACTTTGATTCTGCACAATCGGACCAACAAATCTTTACCAAACTAAGGACAACTAATTTTAGCCGACTGAACCATAAAATTGCCAAACCGAAAGCCTATATTTATAAAATACACACTCTAACGACCCATTAAAATATATTGCACTCCTTCCTCTATAAACATAAAGATACTTAATTTTAGAGAGCCAATCAACAAGTCGAACTACTGATTCGTTACTGTGAACTTCACCTCTCTCTCTCTCTCTCTCTCTCTCTCTCTCTCTCTCTCTCTCTCTGATTCAACAGGGTGTGATGCAGGGAAATGGCCCAAGTAATATATTAAAATTGCATTGCCATAAAGTCTAGGAAATCTTTCTTTTTCCCCCAAAAAAAAAAAAAAAAAAAAAAAAAAAAAAAAAAAAAAAAAAAAAAAAAAAAACACACACCCATTTTTCTGCTATGTAGCACCGAATTATTTTTGATTAATTTATTCAGTGTTGAAACCTTCATTATCACTCTTGCTTAACAAAAAAAAAAAAAAAAAAAAAAAAAAAAAAAAAAAAAAAAAAACCCCCAGCTCTCACAAAACAACCATGCTATGCCAGTCACCTTAAGAAAAAAACCCAAAAAGCAATTAGCATCAGCACAACAAATAGAACGGGGTGTGCGACATCTGTATTAGAAGCCATTGATTTCACAAAAGAAGAAGAAGAAGGAAAAAAAAAAAGAACAATAAGAAAAGAAGAAGAGCATTACAGAGCTGGAACCAAAAGACCCCTCAAGTTTAACAGTCCATGGCGACCAAACTCAAGGAGGAGAAGCAGCTTTTCCAACCTTGATGTGCATGGAACCAACGGTTATCACGTCATTCCGGGAACCCAGAGACGGATCTTCTTCGCTGGCTTTCGAATCAATCAGAAGAGATCCAATCTTCATGATTGAGTTCACGCCATCGTCGAATTGATCCTTACTGTGCCCCAATATAACCAGATTCGTAGCTTTGGTTGGGCTCTGAGATGCCATTTTTGAATCTTGTTCCCCCGCCTCTTCGGCCTTTGGGCTTGAAGGATCACCACTATTTTGATCTACTGAAGTTTCTCTCTCGTCTGGTTCTGCGTGTCGGGGCTCCTCTGTAGCCGTAGAACTCACTTCTTTCTCAAGTGATTCGCCGGGGGTGGCGGAGGAGGATTCAGCAGCGGCGGCGAGGGCCGTTTCTTTCAGGACGACAAAAGGGGCCGTCTTGACGGGTGGGGGAGGAGGAGGGGAGGGGAAGAATTGAACGTTCTGCCTTCTTCCAGAAATCCTGAATTTTTCTTCGATTAGCTTTCTTTGACGATCCTCGTAGAGAAGGAAATCATCGAGTAATGATGTCTCTGATGAGGCGGCTTTGAATATGCGCAGCATCGCCATTCCTTGTATGAATGGTATCTGATAAGAGAAAAAATTGTTAGGCGGACAATCCAGAATTCAAAATTACATGATCAAGATTTACACATACACCACCCAATATTTATGTATTTACTTATCTAGTACTTCAATTTTTACGTACATGCCACCTTTACCTTAGTTATTATGCATGAAAGAAAAGAGTTTCATTTCAAGAAAAGGTGTATTTCAACAATCACCCACACCACCCCCACCCCCACCCCCTCTTTTTTAGTTAAAATGGGGGCACACCACCCCCACCCCCACCCCCTCTTTTTTAGTTAAAATGGGGGGTGGGTATCTTTGATATCATATGAAACAATTGGGGGGTATAAATATAGAAAGCAAAGTTTAGGTGTTAGATGTGTAAATAGGGTTATGTAAATGCCCCATTTTAATTTGATGCTCAAATATTCTATTGGTCTAAAAGTGAAGAGTTGTGTTAGGTAGTCGACGGTCAGCATAAAATTTGTCAAAAAATCATGATATGAATCATTTTAATCATTGTGTAAAAATTAGAGCATCCCTTGGAAGCGACGCGTTGTATGTCTTGAATACAGTGAAAAGTGTGCATGGGTCGTCGCTACACCGGCATTTGAGTGTAGCGTTAAGCAAGAGTTCCCACGTTACGAACAATTTTATTTTGATAAATTTTTCAATGAAGTTCCTGAAAATACAATGAATCTAGCAATCTTAATATCATTAATAGCAATAATATGTTTCATTTTTACCGTCGCATTAGTAAAAAATAAGTTGATGAGATTTTCAAGAAAACTAATGGAAGAAAGTCTATAGGACCTGATGATACCCCAATTGAAATATGAAAATATTTAGAAGATTTGCGAATTTTTTGGCTTACTAAATTGTTTAATATTATTTTAAAAATAAGATGTCAGAGAAGTGGAGGAAGAGCATCTTTGCCTCCACTTTAAGAATAAAGATGATGTACAAGTTTGCAAATTATAGAGGAATCAACTATTATAGAGGAATTAAGTTGATGTGTCTATACTTTAAAATTATGAGAGAAGGTAATTGAACATACTTTAAGATGTATTACACATATTTCTCATAATCAATTTGAATTTATATCGGGCAGGTCTACCATAGAAGTCATACATTTATTGAGAGATTTGATGAAGAAGTACAGAGAGAATGAGGAGGATCTACATTTGATTTTTATTGATTTAGAAAAAGATTACAATAAGGTCCTAAGAGATATCCTTCAGAGTGTTTTAGAGAAGAAATATGTTGATATGACATGTATTCAAGTCATTAAAGATATGTATACTAGAGTTGTTACTTGTGTTCGAACAAAAGAAGGATTAACCAAATATTTTTCTATTTCAGTTTGGATTACATCGGGGATTGGCTTTAAGTTCAGATCTTTTTGTTTAGTTATGGATGATCTTACCGAACATTCACGGGAGGATGTACCTTGGTGTATACTTTTCGCTAATGATATACTTCTTATGAATAAGATTAGAGAAAGAGCTCAAGAAAAACTTGAATTATAAATGTCTATTTTGAAGTCTAAAGGCCTTCGTTTGAGTATAACTAAAACTGAATACATTGAATGTAATTGAATGTAATTTTAGTAATTGAATGTAATTTTAGTAGTAGTAGCTCTAGTTACAGAGTTGTAACTATGTATGAGGTGTGAACATTTTAGATATCTCGGGACTATTACTCAAAGTGATGACAATATAGATGAGGATGTTATTAGTAGAATTCAAGTTGGTTAGTTGAAGTGGAGGAATGTTTCGAGCCTATTGTGTGATAGAAAAATACCGCTTAAATTGAAAGAAAAATTTTATAAAAAAATTTTATAAGATGGTGGATGGTGATGAGACCTGCAATGCTTTATGGCATAGAATGTTGACCTTTAAAAGAAAAGCATAAAACTAAGTTAAGTGTTGCTGAGATGAAACTGTTTTGTTGGATGAATGACTTGATACTTGCTTAGAGACACATTACAAAATGAATATATCAGTGAAAGGGTTTGTGTTGCTTCAGCAGCAAACAAAATTAGATAAGAGTCTCCTTAGATGGTTTCTTCACACTACACTTCGACCATCTGATGATCCGATTAGGAGAATAGATAGTTTAAATTCGACTCATGTTAAGAAAGGCAAAGATAGACCAAGAAAAACTTGGACATTTTGAATAAAAAATGATCTTAATTTATTAGAATTAAATGAAAATATGGCACTCAATAGGACGCAATGGAGAAAAAAGATTCATATAGCAGACCCCACTTAGTGGGATAAAGGCTTGTTGTTGTTATACATTGTATTAGTCTAAAAGTAAATTGTTTACACCCAGCATCATCACCATTTACAAACATACTACACGCTTCTTATGTATTTACATATCTAGGACCTAAACTTTCGTATTTACATGTGTAGCGCTAGGGTTGTCCAAAAAGCCCGTTGTTCATGAAGAGCTTGTGTTCGGCTCTATAAGTAGCTCGATTTCGAATCGTTTGTTAAGTAGAACAAGTCGAACACGAATAATTTTTTTAAGCTTGAATTATAAACAAACTGTTTTAACTCAAAATAAAGAAATTATATATATTATTTATATAATAATATGTCATACATATTTATATCTAAGTTTAAATTATAATAGCTCACACATGATTTTGCCACTTGTATTGCACAAAATTGGTGCAAATTCAAATCAAACCTCCTATTTCTTTATTTTAAAATTAATTTAAACGAGTCAATTTCGAGTCAAACATGAATAAGAATATGCAAATCGAGCAAACTTCGAACAAGCCGAACATAAGCTCGGGCTTGGCTAGCTCAAACTATGTGGTTTCCAGCCCGACATAGCACTTACATCTTTGACAACAAATAAAAAATGCCACACTTCTTGAAAGTATGCAGAACTTCATGTCATAAAATGTTATAAATATAAATAAGAAAGTTTAGATGAAAAATTTGTCAATTTAATATTGTAAAGAAAAACCCAATGCTAGGTGTTGCTCTTTCTAGCCAGGTTTCAAAGCTTGGTTAAGAAATAGCTTCCACCTACTACACGACCAAAAGATGGTTAAAGTGCATTGAGTGCCTAACTTAGCTACTAATGATATATGATTCATGTCGTCGAGCCCCTAGAGGATTCTTTAGTGTGCAATCGATCAATTCAATTACGGATCAGAAAATAAAAATAGAAATTTATAGAATTCATCCATGTTGTCACTGCTGCATTGCCTGCAAATTCCACTATAATTTGATTTTGAAGAAGAACAACAAATTTATTTGATATGGCAGCCAAAATAATAAGTCCCTTGATAAACTATTAAGTGTATTAGACAAGTCCTGGCAGTTGAAACGATGGGGAAAAAAAAAAAAAAAGAAAAAAAAAACCCCCCTCACCCTAGAAGACGGTAACAGAAGAGCCACAGGAAGATTGATAAATGAACAAGTGAGAAGTTCAGGGTTAAAACAATAAAGGGGCATTTACATACATACCACCCAATGCCTGTGTATTTACACTCCACCTAAATTTTGCATTTTTACATTTATACCGCCCAAATTTTCTTATCACATAATGTTCTTAAAAGCATGCTTTGAAGCGTGCTTCGCGAGCATAAGCGAAACGAAGTGCATGAAACCAACTTTGCTTTGCTGAAGCGAGCTTCGAAGCATTGAAGTTAATTTGCAGTCATTTTTCTACAAATTTTAAGTTTTTTTCTATTATTGTAGCAAACTAATAGAAATTATTTGAAATTTTAATTTGCATCTTTATTCTCAATATTTACCTTCGAGTTATGTATTTTGCCAAATTTTTATTCTATTTTATATTAACTTTTAAGTCATATTTTATATTTATAATTATTAATGAACATATTTTTACATAAATAAATTTTTATAATCTATTAGCGCTTTGGTTAATAAAAGTGTTGCTTCGCCTGCATTGTATGCCCCCCACAAAATTTCTCGTATCACACCAAAAAAAACCAACTCTTTTAACTTTTAAAATGTAAAACAAATCTTTTTATGCGTAAGAAAGGGGGGGTGGGTGTGTGTGTGTGTGTGTGTGTGTGTGTGTAAAATTGAAGTTTAGATGTTAGATAGGTAAATACCCAGGAATTGAGTGTTATTATGTAATTCTTTCAACAACAAATGAAAAATTGAAATCATGCTCTCATAAATTATCAAATGAGAAAAACAAAATTATTTTATTTTATATTTATTAAAAAAACAAATACCTCTTGGGTGTCCCTGCTGCATGTGACGGGCTTGTATTCATTGTTCTCCAGCAAGATATGGCGCAAGCTAGTGTTAGACACGTCTTTTACTACGTGCCACTTTACTGGAAAGCTGCCAAGCCATTTATCTTGCTGCCAAAAATCCATGTCCTTCTGGAAATCAACAGAGCCGCTCATCTCCGCAACACCACAGAACTGCCCACTGGCATTAACCTACACAATTAACAACCCTGGAATGAACACTCAAACGCTAATAAAATGAGGAAGATTTACACATACATATCACAAATTCTTATATATTTACATATTTACATGCATACCACTCAAATCTTTAATATCATATCAAAAATACCACACCATCACTATTTTTTAAAAAAGAGAAAAATTTCAAAATGGTCCCTTGACTTTTTCTCGAGGGTCATTTTAGTCCCCGAGTCTATAAAAATGTCAATTTAATCCCCGTATGCTTTTAATAGGAGCTAAAATAGTCCTCTTTAGGGACTACTTTCAGCCCATATTGAAAGAGTTGAGGAACTAATTTGATAATTTTACCTAATTTGACTAAAATGACCCCATGTAAATAGTCAGGGACTATTTCAGTACTTTACTCTTTTTAAAAGTGAAACACACATTTCGTGCATAAGTTTATGACAATAAGGTGCTATAAGGGTAAAAATCAAACTTTGTGTGTTAGATATGTAAATACCTAATAATTGTGCGGTATGTACGCAAATAAAAAATGAACACTCAATATCTATTTATTTACATATCTAACACTTGAACTTCAATTTTTGCATGCATACCACTTCACTTATGCTTGAAAATGTATAATTAACTTTCAAAAATTAGAATAATGATATTTTTAATGTGATATGAAAGATTTGGACCGTATGAATGTAAAAATTAAAATTTAGGTGTTATGTAAATTCATAAAGAATTGAGTTATATGTATGTAAATATATCAAATAACAACAATAATAACATCAAAAACAAGCCTTTATCCCACTAAGTGGGGTCGGCTACATGAATCCTTTTTCTTCATTTCGTTATATCGAGTATCATATTTTTATTTAATTCTAATAGAAAAAAAAAAGAAAAAATTACCGAAAAGAAGAGAAAAATGGGACATTTTTGTGCCCTCCCAAGAGACAACTTGTGCGCTTCTTCAAATGCATTATCCAACCTCTTATTGCCACTAGGAGTACTAGACCATACGTTATACTTGATGCTCTTATGTACATCGTCCTCGCTATAAGACTTGATGACAAAAAACTTGGCGGCTTCATAATCGACGGGAAAATCATCCCTATTAAACTGGTCTGCGCTGATAACAATATTACCCTCTGCGTCGACGGCTCCGGCTTTCGTCGTATAGGCTTTGACACTGAGTGGGGAAACCCATTGGCATTTCACGGCTTCAGAGCGAGGGCCTCGGTTTTGTTCTGGTAGGTTTCCATTCCTGTTGACCCAAGGGCCACCAAATTGAAACCTTGTTGGTCTGAACCTATCCCCAGTATTTGCAGCAGTCCATTGGTTTAGATCAGAGGGGTAACTTGTGTATCCGTTGTTTGGCGGCACGGTAACTTTTGCCGGGCGATATACGGATGGAACCTTCAGATTTGATAACTGGTTCACTCCCTGTGTTCAGTGAAGTAAAACAAAATGAATCGAGAAAGAAGGGTGGAATTCTAATTTTAATTGTTGGGCAATCCCAATTCGTCTAACTTTTTGTAAGGAAAGATCAACACCACTCAAGGAATCTTCTCATTGAAAAGCAGCATTTAAATTATGGGAAACTTCCATACGACCAACCAAAAATTGATTTTTACGCTTATAACATCTTAATAACATCTTAGCATCATAAACATATGAATGAAAAAAGTGTATTTCACTTTAAAAAAAAGTAATGGTGGTGGTGTTTTTGACATGATGTTAAGGATTTAAGTGGCATGCAGATAAATATGAATTGTTCAGGTGTTAGATATGTAAATGCATAAGACTTGTGTGGTATGTATGTCAATGCCACCTAAATTACAAGTAGTCTGAGATTAGCAGTGAAGTTAACTGAGGACTCTAATTCTTATATGCCTAAGCTGTAACGTACATGACATCCTTTTGCTGTAAATTCATGGACAGGGCTTTATTATATTAGGCAAAGACAACAAACAACCCATTTGAAGGCAAGCAAACGTTATTACAGTATATGTATAAAATTAAGGGGCATTTACATACATACCGCCCAATTCCTATGTATTGGTATATCTAACACCTAAATTTTTCTTTTTAATATTTATACCAACCAAATCCTTCATATTACATCGAAAATATCATTATTTTAACTTTTAAAAAGTAAAACATATCTTTTAATGCATGTAAAAAATTTAAGTTTAAGTATTAGATATGTAAATACATAGGAATTGAGTGGCATTGATGTAAATCTTCCTAAAATAAAAGTTAGTTACCTGATCGACACAATATCCCTGTTTATTTACATATCTAAAAAATTAAGGGGCATTTACATACATATCACCCAATCCCCATGTATTTACATGAGCATTTTATATTTATACCACCCAAATCTTTCGTATCACATAAAAAATAACATTGTTTTAATTTAAAAAAGTGAAATACCTTTCCATGCATGGACAAGGTTGTGTAAATGTAAAAATTGTTTATCAATCTTCCTAAAAAAAAGTTAGTTCCCCGCTTGACACAATAATCCTAAGCAATTATATATCTAAAATTAAGGGGGTCATTTATACCACGCAATTCCAAAGTATTTATATATCTGAATCCAAAATTTTGCTTATATTTATAGCACTCAAATCTTTCATATCAAATCAAAAATACGACAATTTTAACTTTTAAAAATTGTCAGACACCTTTTCCTGCAAGATAAGGTAGTACATGTAAAAATTGAAGCTTTGGCGTTGGTATGTAAACACAAAGGAATTGATTGGTATGCATGTAAATCTTTCTAAAATTAAAGTTAGTTACCTGATTGATACCATGGATGCCACCATTAATAAAGGATCCAACTGAAGACTGTTTAGCTGGAGCTAAATTAGCAACTGAAACTTCTTTTTGCATTGGAATTGTGTGAGAATGACCCGAAGATGGCTGTAATGTGTTCGACACCAAGTGCTCTGGAGCAGCAACTAGCGATGCTTGAGATCTATTTAAAGGAGAGAAATGAGGTACTAACGGCGAAGCCAACTTTTTTATCTCACCGTCAGGCTTGATAGCTGGCAACGCACTCGTACTCGTCAATAAAGGGTTGAGATAGCTATTCGGAACTGTATCGGAGGAAGAATTGATTCCAATTGGTATATAAGCGGGAGAAGAAACAACCAATTGATGTGGAGGATTAGAAGGGTAATTTGTTTCCATAAACGAGGTTTCGGTTCCCAAAACAGCCCCGGGAATCGAAGGATTGTATGGGTTGTAAGGAGACTGTAGATATCCATAGGTAGGAAGGTAATATACATTTTGCAAATTTTCTGCTTGCACAGCCTGCAAAAGCGCAGAAAGATAATTTTTTTAATCAATATAGAGCAGACTAGAAGTAGTAAAAGATGACCAGTTTGCAATACATACAGAAATATGGGGATCTTGCCCAAAAAACTGGTGGGAATCCCACTCACTAATGGTAGGTTCAGGCCCTGGTGATTACACAAAAAAAGAGGATTAGAAAATACAAAACATCAAGAGAAGAAAGCACTCAAATATGAAAAGTAAGGGCATTTACATACATACCACCCGATTCCTATGTATTAAAATATCTAACATATCGCATCAATGATACCACCATTTTATCTTTTAAAAACTGAAATATAACTTTTCTTACATAAGGAAGGTAAAATGTATGTAAAAAATTAAAGTTGAGGTTTTAGATATGTAAAATCTTTATAAAGTATAAAAAAAAAGTATACCTGTATAGTAATAACCATAATAATCAGTGACAGCAGGATAGTATAGGCCCAGGTTTTGGTCAAAGATCAACTCCGGAACCGCTTCGCCGTCCATATAGACAAGCTCTCAAAGAAGAAGTTAATGATGTCAGATATCGACCAATACCAATAGCCTATGCCTGAAAGTTGTGAAAAAAATATCATTAGTAAAGGGACATGCTAAAATAATTTGAAACTTAATATATTCAAATCAAATAATTAGAATCTTAATACATTCAAACCTTAGCATACTAAAGCCTCCATGACAATTTTATTCCATTCATCACTATCCGAAATCTTCCTATAATTATTAAATTCGATGTATTCAAAAACTTACGACCACCTTTTAAATTAAACACTAAAAAGAAGAAGCTTTCTTGACAAATCATGACATGATTTAGTCTTGGAAGCATGATTAAGGAAAATCAATGCAATTCCATTTAGCGTCGTAGGGCAGAGTAAAAAATGAAATTATTGTGAATTTTTAATGAGCAAAAAAAGCAACGCTTGCAAAAAAATTAAAAGGCTTGAGCTTAGGAACAAAAAGTGGGAAACAAGAAAGGTAAACATAAATCTCCACAACTTGAAAGATTACAAGGTCAAAAGATCTCTCCTTTCCGATGGAACTACCACAAATTTAGTCAAAGACTCAAAAATAGTATAATAAATGGTAGCAGAAAGTATGAGAGGAATTGGAGGCAACAAGAAATCACATGTAACCACTACACTTAGAATTTCAGTATTTCAAAGAATGAGTAGCTAGAAGTAGTTAACTTGATTCGGAAAACAAAATTCTGGAGGATTTTAGTCCTTTTACACGATAACGCGGATCCAATTCATCAAGCATCCTAACAATGTTAAACCACTATATTGCAAATATAAGTAAAAAAGGAAGAAAGTATGCATCACAACCTCTTTGCCCTATTGAAGCTATTCCCACAAATTATTGCTTCAAAGCATGCTATAAAGCCAATCAGAAAAGCATCAAAGCCATGTATTTTACATTATTTGAGCATAGCATCAAATTTCAATTCAAGTTTGGGCATTGATTGCACCTTTAGTATTTTTAGTTCAACAATAACCAATTGGTATAGGGAATATGAATCAAAGGACACTATTCTTGTGGCTGGGATAAAAAAACACGAGCACTCGTTCAAAAACATATTTCTTGGGACGAAAAGGCAATGAAATCTAGTTCATGCGGTACAATAGAGTTTACACTCTGTAATCTAAGTTCATTAGGTACAGATCCCTTCATCAATTTAAATTAAATCACTTTAAGATCTCATCATCCTATGATACACCATGAAAATGAATTCTCAAATCAACAAGAGCAAAGAAGAAGATGCTCTCTATAACAAAGAGTTTAATGGGTAAATAACATCCAGTACTGATCTTAGGATCCAATAACGTAAATCTCCATTGGATCTTAAAGAAGCTGTCCATTCCTCCTTTTCTTCCACATCTTTACGCACTTTCTCTAGCGCATATTCATGCTCTTAGGATAATACATCACAATTTCTAAGATTCTCGCCGCTTATCACCAGGAACAATTTGCATTAAAACAAGAAAGATTCAATTGGAATAGTTGGCATTCTCATATCACACAACGTATAATCAATCTTAAAAATTATATAGTGAAATGACATAAAATGCCAACCGGCTAGCTCAATACAATTTACTGCAACTTAAATAGATCAAGAAGGTATCATCCGTCCATGATGGAGCCATTTCGGTAAAGGTTCGGAAAGAAAAAATAAACTGAAAATCAAATCGCTTCATAACTTTTTACGCAACCCTCAATCCGGCAACCTTAGGACGCATTGACCAATGCCAAAAAGATCGAAACGAATCAAATCTAATTAATCAAATTATAAAAAAACAGAAATACGGATCAATCGTAAACCCAAACATAGATTCCGCCCTAACAAAACCCATTTAAGAAAGAAATCAACTCCCAGCATAAAACCAATCCCCACGCCCTCTCGCGACATCAAAATTCAAACAATTGGATCGAGATGCATCTTATAAAACATTGAACCTCAAATCTCAATCAGCCCAAGACCAGCTGATCCCTCAAAGAGCCAAAAGAGAAACTTACCAAAAAAAGAAAGCCCTAGCTCGTCGAGCGCGAGAATCAGACCGTTCCAAACCCGATAGAGAAGAGAGAAATTGAGCTCTTGGATCAAACCCTGCAACCCTAGCGAGATCGCAGCAGATATATTGCTTCAAAACCCTAACGCAATTTGTGCAAAAATCAAAAATAAAAATTATCAAAAAAAATATATATGTATCCGTAGTAAAGCGAATGAGATCGCCGAGCCGAGAGGCCGAGGGAGCCTTTTATGGCTCTATTTTATTTTAATATACCCAAATTACCTTCTAAGCAATTAATATATATCGAAGCTACCACCGCGGTTTGCCATTGCATGGAGAGAAGCTAGAAGGCGCCTCGAACCTTCGGATCGCTTGCAAGGAAACATTTATAAGAATGAAATAGCATCTGTAATATTTTAACTCGTAGGAGGGTAATTCCGTCATGGAAAATACGGGACTAAACGCATAGGATTTTTTGACCGCACGAATCTTGATGGGTATTACATGAAATGACGTGTCGAGTTTTGTTATCTCCCATAGCACATAAACTTTCTTTTAATTAGGAGAAGAAAAAGTCAAATTACTTATTTTTAGTGTTGATTATGAATTGGATTTTTTCTTTTAAGAGTTTGTGAAGTAAAATACCTTGATGTATAATACCAACGCAATGGAAATCCTATTATGGGGAGTTCCCTTTCTCTCAAAGTTAAGAGCTTGACGAAGCTCAATATGAAGTGGTGGATGCCTGGTCTGATCTTATCCATCACCCAAAGAGCTTGAAAGCTTCAATGGCGACGATGTTGAACCTTGAAGAGGAAAATAAGAAGTTGCAGGGTTATATGTTAGAAAAGAAAACTTATTAATTTATAGTCATGACAAGAGTTATGAAGGATTTCAAGAAATTTGTGACTTTTAAGAGCATCGTTTAAGATCGTGCCCAAGAATTTATTGATCATATTTATGATGTTCAAGTGAAAGCTTTAAAATGCTAGTGTGTGAAATAATGATTCATCTGAGACTCCTTGAAGGGGTTTGTCGGATATAGCGTAGGACTGAGACTAACATTGAGGGCTTATCTCATTATTAGACATCTAAAGACCCTTCATTTTTAGAAGATCAAAGCTTGGAAAGCCAACGAAAGACAATATCCTTCAACAATGATGATGAGGAATCTATTAAGATTAATTAATGCTCGATCTCTTAGGAAGATCCTCTTTTTTCTCTTTGTATCTTTTTTTTTTTCTATAGCAGCTTATTTATTCATGTGTTATTATATATGTTGTTGTATATTGTTGTTGATGATGTGTTGATCTTTATAATAGCTGCACATGCACATTTTGTTCTTTTGCTTTGTAATGAAATCTTTTTTTTTCTATAGTAGCTTATTTATTCATGTGTTATTATATATATTGTTGTATATTGTTGTTGACGATGTGTTGATCTTTATAATAGTTGCACATGCACATTTTGTTCTTTTGCTTTGTAATGAAGTTTGAGATTTGATAAGGCGTTGGTGAGGTGAGTAACCTCAATTTTGTTCCTTCATCATATTGAAGCAATCATAGTAATTTTAACTTGTATCAATCGACCATCCTCCGTCGATTGGCAGCTCACAGAATCAATCGACCATCCTCCGTCGATTGGCAGCTCACACCGACCCGATCGACCACCCTTGGTTTACTTGACCGATTGGCCACCGCCTGCCCAATCATATTAATTGACCATTCATCGTCGATCAGCCGCCCACACTGGTCCGATCAATTACCTTCGACCCTTTGTCGGCTGGCGACACACTCCGGACCCGATCGATTGGTTGATCACTTCCATTTGGTATGTTGCATTTGTGCATGTTTTCTTCACATTGCTCGCATTAGCACTTCCACACTTGTACCCTTTAGTGTATTTATGAGCATATGCCTTCATATGTTCATGATGAGTATTTGTGCCTCTCAGTAGCACATTACTCTACACTTTTGTTCCTCGACACCCCTATGTTGTGGTTACCACATCTTATATGTTTGCAATTACGCTTATACACTCCTGCATGACCATTTTGTATGACATTCCACATGTTGCATCATCTGTATGTTTGAGCCTGTTTCAGTCATTGTTCTCACATACTTATTTCAGAAACCCACTTGTCTGCATCTTGGATGGCTTGTTGCCAAGTCCATCTGACATGTAGTTCTCTCAATTGATAATTACATTTCTTCACATCCTACGACACCGCTCCAAACTGATGTATGTCCCACCCTCTTAATCACTGCCTCCACGGTACTCCCACCTTCTAGGTCATTGTCTCCACGTCACACCCACTCTTCAGATCATTGTCTTCATGGCACACCCACTCCCGGGTCACCGCATCCTCAGCACACTCACTCTCGAGCCACTACCTCCCCGACATACTTATCCTCACTTGTGTTGTATGTCATGCATGTATCACTCCACATTGTTGGCGAGTTCATCATTAATATGTCTCCATATACTAGTGGCAAATGTTTTCCATCTTTAAAACATTCCAACTTTGTTAGGACAATCACATCGCATTGGATCATTTCACATTTGCAGGTGCGCTTCTGGTTTTCTTAGCATCGGACCTGCCTTGATAGATGAGTGACGCTCTGCTGGTCAAGCGGGGTAGTGAGTATTGCCTATGAGGATGCCTCGACGTGGCAGTACTATCTACCACACAATGATTAGCATGCTTATGTTGTGTTAAGGTTCAAAGGGAACTAATAAGTGCCACTTAGGCTTTTCCTTTCTTAGGACCTATTTTCAAAAGTATTAAAAAGTATAAAACAACCTAAGTTTTTACTACTTTATGCATCATATTTTTAAAATGTATATGCATCTCTACCTTAGACCATATGTAGGGTCAATTTTTGAAAAGCTTTTTTGAAACATGCATCTAGTGGCACATCTTGAATTCCTTGGATCCTTAGGATGGGGTCGGTGACGGCAGCCCATCAAAACATGTGCTAGCCTTCTAATATAACCCTACACTCAATTGAATGTTGTGTTAGGACATTACGTTAGATGATGTGTTAGGCTATAGACTAGAATACTAAGTAGTCTTTTTTGATGTCCTGACTATAGCTCTTTGATGGTTTAATTGCCCTAGCCAGACAACATCTTTTGTGCTTTTAACGTGCTTGAATGTTAACTTTTTTTATACGCAAGTAGTATATTAGGTCGATCTTCTTGCAGGGAGTCATGCCTAAAATACCTCACGTGTAATAAGGAGGAGCAACATAACGATTATGACTAACTCTTTTCTGCAGGCGTTGTTAAGCTCCTCCCACCAGACATAGCAGATATGTGTTGCATGCTTGTTGGCTTTTTCGCTAACGTTATTTTCATGCAGGTCGAGTCTGTTTCTCTTTTTCATATGTATTTCCAAAATCCCTAAGAGAGTTTGTTTTAGAATAAGATACAAGCATGGGTTTCATGCCGTCAAGCAAGCGAAACCATGTGTGGTGGAGATAGAAGCTGCTTGCTCATGTCCTATATTTTAATTATAAATCTCATTTGTGTATAGAATTAGGACCCGACATGTACTATTGCAGTGTCTGACCACATTCTCCTTTTCTAGATTATTTTCATGCAGGTCGAGTCTTTTTCTCTTTTTCATATGTATTTTCAAAATCCCTAAGAGAGTTTGTGTTAGAATAAGATACAAGCATGGGTTTCATGACGTCAAGCAAGCGAAACCACGTGTGGTGGAGACAGAAGCTGCTTGCTCATGTCCTATACTTTAATTATAAATCTCATTTGTATATAGAATTAGAACCCGACATGTACTATTGCAGTGTCTGACCACATTCTCCTTTTCTAGGATATATTGTCGACCCAACGACACTGGCCTCTTATTTTTTTATGTTTGGCTTGTTTTACTATATTTCTTGCATACATAAATATACATAAGCATGCATACATACATGCATATATGAAACTAGTCTATATATCACAAACAAATTTTCATCATTTAGCACGAATCTCGAAGCATAATTCAAATCTCAAGACAATATTTTAAGCAAGAAACATTTAACTCTTGATAAAAAGTCATCTAGAACTCCGATTTCAGCAAACTTATTGTCAAACTGACCGGCTCGATGAGACAAACCTAATGATATGAAACTAGTCTAATCCGAGTCAAATCAAGCTCACATCAAGTCATTAAACTATCTTTGGAAGATTTTTGGACATATTTGGAATGTCAAAACAGATGTCTACACTGACAAGTTTATACACGAATTGAGTGGCTCGTCAAGACGAATCCAACGAGCCCAAGATCACTCAATTCCGACATCGTTAAGGCACTCAAATGTCCATTAAACGCAGCATGATCGGAGGAAATTCTCTGGACCGTCCGATCAAAATGATTGATATTCTTGCATTAATTACACCCAGAACACTATAAATAGACCCCCACCCCTCACATGAGGGGAAGCTGAAATTTAAAAAGAGAGTCTGAGACCTTGAGGAGAAGCTGCAGCTCAGCATCCCCGCCAACAGCCGTCAACTCTCGTCGACTGCATTAATTGCACCCAGAACAATATAAATAGACCCCCACCCCTCACATGAAAGGGAGCTGAAGACTAGAGAGAGTGTGAGGCCTTGAGAAGAAGCTATAGCTCAGCATCACTGCGACCTCCGTCGTCGACCACCGTCGAACGCCGTTGACCACCACCGAACGTCGTCGGCCTCCAACGACCACCACCGACCATCCTCAACCTCTGACAACCGGCATTGACTATCACTAACCACCATCGATCACCACCAACTAGACGACGTTATTCGACGTTGTAATCTAAAAAATATAATTACCCTTTCCCGTATGTGGGACAAGGGATTCCTGTAATCAACAATCAATAGTCGATTTTCGCAACTGGGGCAAACCCCTTTTTTTTTCCCTTACGGTTTTTCCACATAAAAACCTCTGGAGTCATCACCGCTTGTTTTCTATTTCATCTGTGTGTGTGTTGAACTTTCGTACAACGTTAAAACGATAGTCTGTTACTCTACCGCCGCAAATTTTCTAGCACACATCATATATATATATATATATATTCATGTAGGTCAAGTTTGTTTCTCTTTTTCATATATACTTTCAAATAAGGTACATGTATAAGTTTCATGGCGTCAGACAGGTGAAACCACGTGATGGGGACCAGAAGCTGCTTGCTCATGTCTTGCACCTTAATTCTAAATCTCATTTATGTATAGAATTAGGACCAGACGTGTGTATATGCAGTGCTGACCACCTTCTTCTTTTCTAGGATATGCTATCTGTCCAACGACACCAGCCTCTTAGTATTTTATATTTGGCTTGCTTTACTAGCTTTCTTGCACACAGGAGCTTTTGAGTAAGTCCATGTTGTTGCTCACCTAGGGATCTTAGCTTTCATATAGAGAGAAGTCATTCGATTTTATTGATTTCCCTACTCGAGGTCACAATCTCTTATTTTCCTAGATTAGGAGACCAATCTTCTTGGTGCATCATTACAACATCTTCATGGAATGATACCACACTGTATGTAGAGTATGCGTTGAACCATCTTCGGGGCAGTGTTACACTATATTCAGGATACGTTGTTACATCGTCTTAAAGTTGTGTTTCTCTGTAAGATGTTTCGTTACTTTGCACAGTGTTGTGTTACCATGCAGCGCGCACCAAAATTCTACAGCGCACGACATGATTCCTCAAGGGGCTTCATTGAGATGTGCAAAGGCCTACAAGGCACGATGTGATTATAACTATCATTCATTACAACCTCCTAGCACTTTAATACACATACACCAAAATTCTACAGCGCACGACATGATTTCTCAAAGGGCTTCATTGAGATGTGCGAAGGCCTACAAGGCACGATGTGATTATAACTGTCATTCATTACAACCTCCTAGCACTTTAATACACATATATATATACACACACAAAATAATTAAATCAAAATTTTGCATAAGACTATTAAAAAAATATACTAAAATCACTAAATTCTCTTTCCAACAACATCAAGTGTATTAAAAATTTTATATAAAATGAACAAATGCCTATTTTAGACATTTATTCACATAGAGCACTTTCAAAATTGAATTTTTCAAATAGATCAAATGTTCCTGAAACACTAATTTTAAACAATAAAATTTGTGCAACTTTAAACTGAAACTTTATACAACTACAACCATCACAAACACACCCTTAAAGCATCAAATACTGTATAAATATGAAAGTTTAAGTGTGATTTCTAAGTTCATAATTTAGATACCCATGACAGAATTCTTGGAAATTTATAAATCTCACCTACAAATTTATGTATCATAATTGTAGCACTTTATTATCATAAACATAAGCTGATTATATGCATGAAAATATATATTTTACTTCTAAAGTATTAGTGGTTATTATATTTTTTGATGTGATGTTAAATACACACACACAAGTGTAGATATTAAATTTGTAAATATAAGTATTGTGTGGAGTACATGTGAAAGCACCTTAAAGATTCTTGCTTTTGTGCAAAGCATTCAAACACCTTATCAACCACCAGATTTACGCCTTAAAAAAATCAAAAAATCAAATCAATGTGATGATTAAAGGTCTGTTTGGCAGAGATTTATGTCTCTTTTGTTCTTCAATCTGCCATCACATTTTTATTTGAACAAAATTTTTTTTGATGCCTTCTAAAAATTTTTGTGATAGGAGGATGTTTTTTTTCCAATTTGAACTGCTTAAGAGTGATGACTCTCTCCTACCCTCAACGTCCGGCAAAGCCGAGCAAGCTTTCTCTTCAACTTACTCAGAAATAAGCTTCGTGGAGGTCAAAGAGCTCTCAAAGGGCTTTGCTCTCATAGAACTCGACCCCATCGAACCATCATCATCATCATCACCATGAGTTCCACATCATCATCTTTTTCTTAGTTTGCGGCGGCGCGGCGTGGCCCCAAATACGCTGCCACTGCCTTCTCGTTTTGCCGCGTCCACGAATACACGGCCGCCACCGATGAGTCCACACACTCACCAATCATCACAGCTTCAAAAACTCGGAATGAGATCTCTCCAACCTCTCATCATTAACCTCAACCACAGCTCCAAAACCTCCCACCTTCTCCTCCAAATTCCTGATACAATCTTCCCTCTTGGCCAGCTCCATAAGAACCCTAATCCTCCTAAACGCCAACAAGCTCGGCCTCTGCCCCATGTCCACCATCTCCACAAAGCACCTCTCAGCCTCATCCAACTTCCCCAAATCACACAACAAATCAAACAAAACATCTGAAACCAACACCAAAGACCCAAATCCATTCCCCACCATATCCCTCCATAGCTCCATTGCCATCCCCACCTCCTCCTTCCTCCTGCACATCCTCACCAAAAACATACAGGACTGCGTGTTCGGCAAGCACCCCTGCTTCCTCATCCTCCTGTAAAGCCGCCACGCACTCTCCAGATCGTTCGCCCAGTAGAAGCATCGAAAGAAGAGGTTATAGCTCGTCGGATTCGGCGGGAGCCCCCGGCCCTCCATCTCCTCCATCAGCGCGAAGGCGTGGCCGAGCCGCTTTGCAATGCAGTAGTTCCGTATCGCTGCATTGTAGGCAGCAGCGTCGGGGCGGCATTGGCCTCCCATCTCCCACATCTCCTTCAACACCTCCCTGGCCTTGTCCGGCTGGCCGACGAGGCCGAGGCCACCGATGATACTGGTGTAGGTTATAACATCCGGCGCAAAATCCTTCTCACGCATTTCGTCGAATACCTTGTATGCTTTGGACATCTGTCTGTTCTTGCAGTAAACATCGATCAGAGAGTTGTAGGAAACTAAATCCGGCTTCACCCCGAGCTCCGCCATCTCGTTGAAGAAAGCTTCGGCGTCTTCCGGCGACTTCCAGCCGGAGAGGAGGATGTTGAAGGTCTGGAGATTAGGTTTGAACTCATGCTTCAATCCATGGTAAACGTTTCGAGCATCAGTCATGCTCTTCTCCTGACACAGGGTTCTCAGCAGCGCGTTGAAGCAGTCGGTGTTGAACGCCGGAACCAGTCGCCGGAACTTGCGGAAGCTCTCGACGGTCTGACGGACGGAACAGACCTTTGCGATCCGGCCGAGAACGATCTGAATCGTTCTCGCGGTGATCGAAATCGGATCTCTCTTCTTCATTTCGCGGAGAAGGGACCACATCTCGAGAAACCGGCGGCTGCGGCCGAGGATGTAAAACATGGTGTCGTAGGAGAAAGGGGTGTGGGAGAAGGAGGATTGATTGGCGGCGAAGGTGAAGAAATCTAGGGTTCTGAGGGGGTTTCCATGGCTGAAGCGAACGCGTTTGAGAACGCGGTCGACGAGGGAGTTGGAGAGGGGAATGAAGAGGGAGTTTAGGGAGAGGATCATGGAGTCGGGGGAGGAGGAGGAGTTGATGATGTGGAAGATGGCGTCTTCTTCTTCCTGGTGCAGTTGATTTGGGGTCTGTTGTTCTGTGGGTTTGGACGCGGAGGAGAAGTGTAGGAACGAGAAAAAGCGGGTGGGCGGTGGAGATTGTGGGGAGATGAATCGTAGTGATCGGAGCATACTAGTTTGATTAGGGTTTTAGTAGAGCTTCTAGGGTATCAGGTGAAGATGGAGGGTTTAAGGGGACGGATACATATACGGAAACAAGAGTCGAGGAGACGAAGGAAAATTTCATCTGTATTGAAATGTTACTCTTTTACTGGAATATTTTATTTGTATTATTTGTAAAAAAAATGTGTTATTTGAGTATTATATGATATTATTCGATTATTTTGCGGTGTTATTAGAATATTCAATCACACATTTGATTTAAGGCTGAAGTGTTATTGAAATATTCTTTTGCATTACATGATTTAGAGCTGTGTTATTCCAATAACATAGTGAAAATTGAAATAACACGGGAAATATTCCGAATAACACAGCCTCAAATCAAGTAACCAATAACACCGCAAAATAATCTAATAACACCATATAATACTCGAATAATATATTATTTTTACAAATAACACAAATGGAATATTTCCGTAACACAACCAAATCTTCCAATCCGAACGTAGCTCTACGTTAGGAGTACTGATGTAATATTTTTCCACAGAAACAAGGGTTAAGGAGGCGAAGGAAAATTTCTAATGATAATTAAAATAAAAGAATATTTACATGAATTATAAATAAATATAATAGATAGATCACTCCTATTTCAAAAGGAAATAATATTTTGGGCTCTTGAAATGTAAATTTTAATTTTAGGTGATCAAAATGTTATATTTAAAGTTTAGAATGTGAACTGCTATAAAAATATGAGATTATTATCATCCAAAAAATTAATTATAAAATTTAATGGTCCAAGATTTTTGCTCAAAATCTTCATGAGTGTGTTTAAGAGCATGATTGTAATTAAAAAAAAATGATTAAGATATCATACTTAAAATTTGGTTGATTGTTATTTTTAATACTTTGGGTGGTTGGTAAGCAAAAAATCCTAAAAATAAATATAAAAAATTAGGGTGTTAGATGTGTAAATATGTAAGATTTGTGTGCTATTTATGTAAACAATTCTTTAATTTTGATATGATATGAAAGTTTTGAGTAGTTTAAATGTAAAATTTAGATGTTAGACTTGTCAATATATAGAATTGGGTTGTAAGAATGTAAATGCTCCTTAAAAAAAATGCTGTAAATATTATTTTTTAAGATTTATTTGTTAAATAGCAATCTATCATTATCTATCTACTCTAAGGTAAATATTAGTGTTTAACTAGAGTTTAATGCCTAACTAATTAGGAATGACTTTATAATACTCTTTTGAGGGGCATTTACTTGCAACCCACAATTTTTTTTACATATTTACATATCTAATATAAGTAATTTAAAAATTTATATATAGTATTCAAATCTTTAGCATCACATTAAATATTTCACTTGTGTTACTATTAAGAAATTCACATGCATACAAAAAAAATTACATGTAAAAATTGTTTTTACATTCAGAATCATGTCAATAATAATGTCAGAATATGTGTATTTAACATTAAAAAATTATTAATAATGATAGTGTCAAATATTTGAGTGTTATAATCTACTAGCATGAATCTCAAAGCAATCAGACGACTAAGGACAATGACTGGGAAATCGAAGCGATAGACCAAGGGAGCACGATCTGAACAAGTCATTTGACGACCAACCGCTTTATCGGGTCGACAGACCCATGTTGTCGAGGGATCTAATCAATGGATCTCACTTATGGCCCTAACAACCCAAGCTTCTTTCAGGGGCGTTCGATCACAACTGGGCAATCAACCGGTTTTGTCTTGATAGGAGCGATCGCCACGCAATTGGTCACCTTAAATGACCGAACTAAATGCATCGATACGCTAATGACTGTTGTATTAGACTTAAATGGTAACACAAGTCTTGTATTAAATTAATGCATTAACTGCATTAAGGGTGGTTTCCATAATTGCTCTCTCCTTTCGGCCGTTAAGGATGATTTCCATAATCGCTCTCCTTTCTATATATGTACCAAAAGACCTTCTATAAATAGGTGGCCCAACGATGAATAAATGGACTTTTTTCTCCTCGACTCTTCTCTCTCAAAAACTCTTTGCCGACTCGTCTCTCTCCTGCTCTCCTTTTCACGACTCTAATTCTCAATGTGTGTTTTATCTGAAGAACAATTTAGGATTAACATCCTAAAAGGTGATGTTGTTAGCGTGGACATGCCCTAGACAAGAAGCAGAGCCAACTACGAAGGAGAAACCTTGATGAGGGATGTGGTACCCATGGAATTCAATAAAGAAATGGCGTGGCGAGATATCCAGGAAGAGGTCTAGGCGCTGCGAGTGCAGATAATGGACCTGTTTGAGGCCTTCCGAGCGACCGTAACTCAAAGAAACATTCAACCACCACTCTCAGAAGAAGAATCTCGGGGAACTCGCCCCCAAAAGAAGATATACTTGCATTTAACGTTTAGTTTGGCGCTGACCAACCGATGAGTAGGGTGACTCCCACCCACCAACAGTGCAACATCTAAGTCGATGATCAAGCTCCGGGCGGATCGAGTAGGAGCGCCCACCCGGTCCACTATAGGTAGGGCCTTCACTCGACAAATCCTAGAAATTATACTCTTGACGATGCTAAAGATTCCCCATCTGGATTCAAGATAATGTTACAGGATCGTTAAAAAGCTGCCAACAACCAAAGAAAATTTTCACATACCTAAAATTCTGCCCATTTCAGAAAGGACTTTTGAGAACTTCTCTCTTTCTTGCAATAAGGCACCTCCGTCTTTCTAAGGCAAAGGCTGGGAAGAACCAAAGATTGTCGCTCCCTCCGACGCCTTTTCTCCGACCTCAGTTTGTTCACCAGTCGGGCTTTACTAGCCCTTAGTGATTCTTCTTGTGTTGGGCTCAGGCGTCAGAGCCTTTCGGTGAATCTTTTTCTGAAACAGTCCCTTTGCACTGTCAGACGAGTCAACTAGATCGACTGATACATGTTATGGTTTCGACCGTCATCTTTCTTCAAGAGCTTCTTCTTCTTTACAAAGGAGGAGGTTTGATAGCCTGCTAAAGCTAGGATTTCAGGATTCATCCCTCTTCGACTCGTACCCTCAGCCATTGGAGCTCTCAAATTGTCTGATGATCGTTGACTGCAAAAGAACGTCATGCCAAGCCCACGATCCTATGCAGAGGGAGCACCAGGTGCGCAACCCAAGGGGAAGTTAATCACTCAATCAATTCTCTTAATTTTTGTGTCATTGGTTGTTTAATAGTTTCTCTGTCCTTATCGTACTGTCAGTATCAAGGCACAAGAAAACTTAGGGAACTAATTTATATACACCTAAGCTGCCAGCAAAAATCTAAGAGCAATTAGGCTACTAAAGACAACTGGGAAATCAAAGTGACAGGCCGATCGAGCACTATCTAAATAAGCCGTTCAACCTCCGACCACTCTATGGAATCGACAGACCCACAATATCGAGGGATCTAATCAACAGACAACGCTTACGGTCCTAGCTACCCAAACTTCTTTCAGAGACGCTCGATCACAACTAGTTCATCGACCGGTTTTGCCTCAACATAAGTGATTGCCACTCAACCGGTCGTCTTGGACCACCGAACTAAATGCATCGATCCACTAATGATCGTTGCATTAAACTTAAATGACAACATGAATATTGTATTAAATTAACACATTAACTACAACAAGGGCGGTTTCCATAATCACACTCTCCTTTCGGTAATTAAGGATGAATTTAATAATCACTCTCTCATTTATGTAATTGTACAAAAAGACCTCCCATAAATCAGAGGCCCGACGACTAATAAAGAGTCTTTTCCCTCCCACTCTTCTCTCTCAGGAGCACTTTGCAGACTCCTCTCTCTCCTACTCTTCTTCTCTCGCCATATTTATGTAATTGTACAAAAAGAACTCCCATAAATAAGAGGCCCGACGACTAATAAAGGGTCTTTTCCCACCCACTCTTCTCTCTCAGGAGCACTTTACAGACTCCTCTCTCTCCTACTCTTCTTCTCTCGCC